CTAACTTCAGGATAGAACGAGCGCATGATTTCACTCCCATCTCCAAAGTGGCCACCTCGAAGAACCGGAGCTGGACGGGCTACATGATGGCGGCGACGATGGCGAAGTACATGTCGCGGGGGAAGTACTGGAGGTACAGGAACTCCCGGAGGAAGAGTCAGCGCAGCACTTTCGTTGGCCTGGATCAGGTAGAGGTCCTGGTCTTCTTCTGACGGCCAGCGGCCCGCTGGAAGTGGCAACCCACGTGCGTTGTGCAGGTGCACAGCATGAGCTTGCCAAGTCCTGCGCCGTAGTCCCACCACAGTGTGACGCTGAAGTGCTGGAACCGAGCTCCAGAGGTCTTCCGGTGTTTGTGGGAGGCCAGGACGCAACAATGCACATAATGCCGTGACTTCTTGCGTGGTCTCTGTTGTCGAAGGACCTCCGCCATGGCTAGCTTCTTCTGTGATGCACCCCCAGATAGCGGCTTCCATAGTCGGGGCGTTCAGGACAGGGGCATTCGTGGTTTAGGGTTTAGGGTTTAGGGTTTGGGGTTTAGGGCTCTAGGGTTTAGGGTTTAGGGTTTTGGGTTTTGGGGTTTAGGGTTCAGGGAGCTCCCCTAAACCCGAAACCCCAAACCCTGGCAATGCACTGGCTGTTCTTTTTTAGATGTGCAGCTCCCGCGCTACTACTATGCGCAAAGACAACTGGTAGTTCTTCAAAATACCCGTGCCGAAAATTCCTCTAACGTAAGCTCCCTTTCAGGTCAGGTAAAACCTGGCTACGAGAAAGTGTATGTTTTCAATGGTCCCTCCTAACCTTTAGGAGGACCCTAAACCCCAAACCCTCAACCCTTGCAACAACAAGGTACACATGCACCCTGAACCCCGGCACTTTGCCAGAAGGTCCTTACTCCCAGGGCTCCAGAGTTTGGCCATTCGGTTCAGGGCTTAGGGTTCGAATCCGATTATCCCCATAATAGTGCATGTAAGCAGCTGCATCACGGGTGTCTGCTGCCCGACGGAGGCAGAGTTGATCCTCAACAGGCATTGTATTCCTGGGCTTATAGGGCCTAGGCGTAGAGCGGCAGGGGTCGGAATAACTAGTGGCCCCTTATATCACACCTTTGTTCGGGGGGCTCTGCAAAATTCGGTCGTGAGCCCGCAAAGTTGAATCTCCCAAGAAAATTGTGCCCCACGCTTATACTCAGTCACGAAGTACCCTCTGAGGGCTCCTGAATTCCTATTTCAGAGAGCCCCGGAGGCCTAGTGCACAGTGAATGCGGTGGGGGTAGTTCGGGGTGGCTGTTGTAAGGGCTAGCGGGGATTTCCGTCTGCAGTAAGGGGTGTCGTGTGGTATCTTTGTCTGCAGCTGGAGTTTCGGGTTCAGGCAGGCTTGGTCGTTGAAACCCTCAACCCTAAACCCGTATCCCTAAACCTCTCTTATCATGTGTATATATAGATATAGATATATATATATATATAGAGAGAGAGAGAGATATATATATATATATATATGTACACAAACCCTAGTGGAATCTAAGCGCGAAAGGTTCATGGTTCGGTCGAAAACTCTGATGGCCGGTTTGGGGCCCCCAATAAGCGTTCATGGTTTCGCCGAAAAACTCCGACGGCTGGCTTCCCGACACCTCTCAATAGACACAGGCCTCTACCTGGGCACGAAGCTGTGAGTTTCCGACTCGCAACAAAGAACCTAAGCCCCAAGCGCTAAACCCTTTCTAGTATAATTACGTAAGCTATACTAAGGCACCCTAGGGAATCGCACTACCACATGCTGAATCCCCAAACCCTAAACCCTAAACCCTAAACCCTAAACACTACCCCTGTAGTAACGGCAGGGCGTCGGCGTCATTCCAAACTCCGCCGCCTTTTGCGTGTCAGCACCGGCCTCGATCCTGGTCGGATCTGCGCGCTTTGGGCGAAGGTTTCGTGGGGGCCGTAGTACTTAGATTAGGGTTTTGGGAGGTTCTTTTAAAGGGTTCCTGAAAGGCTTCTATAAGGGCTACGAGGGGGTTGCGGCCTTTGGGCTTTAAGTGGTGGGGTTTCGGGTTTAAGGCTTAGGGCTTTGAGTCTAGAGGGTCTAGAGGGTCTAGGGCTTCGGGCTCTTTCCCTATGGGTCCAAAAGGGTTTTATAATGGACTTCTGTATGGGCTTGTGATGGTCTGTAACGAACGGCTTCGAGGCGTTTCCAAGGCCCTTAGCAGCCTTAGTGGGCAACGGTTTGTTGAAGGGGCTTAACAGAGTCCTTTATGTCTTTGGGATGTTGTCACACAAAGTTTAAGTTTAATTCTTGTCATGATTACCCTAAACCTTCCTAAACACCAAACCCTCTCAAAGGTTTGCAGGGTTCTTGTTTGGAGGGTCGGGGACTCGGCAAGTAGGCAGTAAGTAGAGTTGCAGGTACCCTGAAAGGAACCCACATTGGGGTTATCCTACGTCTGACACTACTGAATAAGCACTTACTATGTGCCCGGACCCTCCAAGCGGACTGCAGCAGTGTATAATGCTGTGTGCTTCATGGCTTCTAATGGTTAAGGCTTCCCTTTTTTGCAAGGGGCTCTTGGAGGTTCAGCGTGGTTGATCATGGGGTCTTGTGCGGCAATGTTTGTCGGTCTTTACCACATTGCTGGTACAGTAACCTAGCGACTACTATCGTTTGCTGATACATCTTGCGGGGCTGTAACGAAGCTGAAGTGGTGTTGCATGGGTTTGGGCTTCGCATGTGTTTGGGACGTAGGGCTCTAGAGTTCGAGGTGTCGGCTTCCATGCTGCGTTCGGGGTTGAGGGCTGCTCTGGGGTGGCTACCACAAACGGTGTTGTAGCCCACTTTTCTTGCAGAGCCTTTGCCAAGCTTTGGAGGACACCAAGCGACCCACACAACAAGAAGTCATCAACGTACACCAACAATGCACCCTCAACACGACCACCGTCAACCCTGACAACTTTCCACCAGTTAGGGTCTAGAGAAGCTTCAAAGTCGGGATCAACATGCAGAATTGAAACCTAGAGTTGACGGCTCTCTTGGTAGGTAAAGTTGCTAAGATGGGCTACGGACGCTTATGGGCATGGGGATTCGGACAGGAGAGATAATTCCGGTTACAAGGGATACCAAAAACAAGGCTACTACTACATCAAAAGCTCTGCATGTAGGGCTCAGGAGATCGGTTTGGGGTCCGGAGCGACATGTGCCACGGAGATTCTGGCGAGGCTCCAGGAGTTGGCTTCTAAACCCAAACCCCAAACAATAAACCCTTAATGTAGCGGCCTTAATAGTTAGAATAGGGTTGGGGGTATATTATACTAAAAAAATATAATAAGGAACCTCCAAAATAGTATAGCTAATTAGGAAGGCCCCTATACTAGCCAAGCTTCAGATTGAAAAAGGACAAGCACCCGGCTTAGGGTTTGGTTCGCAGCGCTGCAACGAGGACACAAGCCTGAAACTGGACAAAAGGGACCAAAAGGGTGCAGGGTGCAGTCTCCCCTTATGCGCAACACTGCCAGCTTCTTCGGGGTTTGGGGATTAGGGTGAAATCCGCCAAGCTTCAAGTACTCAACGATGTCAAGGTGGCCCTTCTGCGAGGCGACGACGAGGGGCGTTGAAAATCCGCCCTGGTCCTTCAGAGACTGGGCTTTCAAGGATTCGCATGTTTGGCGTGGGCATCTGCTCAAAAGCCTATTGAGGTCCAGGATTTTTGGGGTTTAGTCCGGTGCAACACATTGGGGCTTGAGGGCATGAAAACATAGGGCTGGGGGAATGCCAGGGAGTAGAACGAGAGCAGCATGCGTCCTTGTCGGCACCAGCGTCGAGAAGGAGTTTAACCTGATGTGCATGCATGGTTAGGGCTTCAGGTGGTTACCGTAAACCCTAAACTCCCCAAACACTAAGCCCAGTTCAGACAACCGTCAAGTAGTTGAACCAAATGAAATCTCATGATCAAGCATGAGATACATTGCCCGAGTTCAGAGTGTTGAGTTGAAGTCTTCTCGGACTCATACTGACCCAGCTGAGGATCTAGAAAGTAGAACCCCTAATTCGGGACCATATACTAGAGGGCATTTTTCCGGAGCACCCAATAAGGAATCTAGTTTTTGGATCCTCCCAGAGGTCTGGGTTCGGAAACGAAGGACGTCGAGGAACCCCCCTCGCAGGAGCTTGTGAGATGAAAGCGTTCTGCCGGACAGAAACCACAAAGACATGGGTAGCTATTTGGATTAGGGTCCCCTTTTAGGTCCTCAATATAGTACGGCACCCAAGGACCCCAAAAAGGACACTATGTACCCACATACAAATATTATGAAGACTAATCTACGGTTCAACGAAAATGCTCCGAACCTCCTTGGTAGATCTTGCAATTTTGCACGCATCCTACAAGTATGTGTGATGTGGCCCACACTTTGCTCGAAGACCCCCAGCGCAAGGGGACGGACCGTTACAGGAATGAAGAAAGCTATGAGCCCCATGTCACTGCACACTAAAACACCAAACTGAATGCACTAAGAACCCTCCGCAATAACATCCTACACCTACGCATCCTTAACAACTGAATCCCTACAAATCCCTAATATATACTGAGTGTAGCCGTTTCCAAGGTTGGATAGGGCTTATACTACCCTGCAAGGGTTTCAGGCTGCTTGCCCTACTACTTTCTCCACTACGAGGGAACTTTGAACCCTAAACCCCTATATAGACCCTAAACCCTAAACCTTAGTATAACTCTTATAGAACCGACATAGAAGCCCGATAGAACCCTTAACAGAAACCTTACACCTTGAACCCTGAACCAACCTCAAGGCCCCAAGGTGGCTCATGCTACGCCCAATCATCCTACCTCACTTAAAACCGTTTAGGGTTTAGGGTTTAGGGTTTAGGGTTTAGGGTTTAGGGTTTAGGGTTTAGGGCCCAATCATCCTACCTCACTTAAAACCTAATCTTCCTAAGACTCCCCCAAGCCCTGAAAAGCCCTGTGAGACCCTACAATAAGGGTAAACCTTACAGCGCAAACCCTCACCCCCGAACCCTTAATTACTAAATCCTTCAACCCTAAACCCTAAAACCCAAAGCCCTCAACCCAAAACCCTCACCCCTGAACCCTGAACCTTTCGACCCTAAAGGTAGCTCAAAGGATGCCGAAGTGCAAGGTCGAGGCGTCCGCTCAGAGCAGCACAGTAGAGAGGCGTAAAAGCCTGCAGCCGGAGGTTTGGAGTTGCGGGTAACTGTAACGTTTAGGGTTTGAGGGTTAAGGGTTTAAGGTTTGAGTGTCAAAGGTTTAAGGTTTAAGGGTTAAGGGTTTAGGGTTGGAGTGTTAAAGGTTTAGGGTTTAAGGGTTAAGGGTTTAGGGTTTAAGGGTTGAGCGTACAGGGGTTTAGGGTTTAGGGTTGAGGGTTTGAGGGTTGAGGGTTTGAGGGTTTAGGGTTCGCACAAGGCCACTTCTGAAAGGTTATCAGAAGCGTTCGGGCACAGTTCTACTAAACTAGGGGTAGGCTGGAGGGGCATAAGAAGCCTGCCGTGCCGCGAATGTAGGGGCCTTCAAACATCAAACATTTAAGCTTCAATCCTAAACCCCAAAGCCTAAACCAAAAATCCGAAACCCTAAACCCTAAACACGGTCCCCTTAAGAGTTCCTTGAAGGGTTTTACAGGGCATCCACACCGTCTTGGGGTTTAGGCTTTATGGTTTCGTGGTTACGGTCTAGGCATTACAGTTTAGTGGTTAGGTTAGCGTTTAGGGTTTAGGGGCTAGGGTTGAGGGTTTAGGGTTGAGGGTTTAGGGTTTAGTTTAGGTATGGGGTTCAGGGCCTAGTGGGAAAACTCGGGTTCTCGTCGCAGGGGGGTATCATAAATTTGGGGTCATACTATGCGACGTCTACTTTTAAGCCTTGCTCTCACCGTTTAAGCTCCTAAGTGTTTTTAGGGCCTTAGCATAAGGTATTGGGTCGGGTTATCGTAGAAAGGACCCTGAAACGTAGCATGGATGACTGTTCAAAATTCAATATTGGGGCTTTAAAGCCCCCAAACAGAAAGGCCAAACAAGCTCCCAAATCAACAGAGAGCATCAGAAATCGAAGCCCATAGAATCACAAGCTCCCAATTTCATGAGCACCTGGAAGTCGTGCTCGCTCAACAGCTCCTCTACAAGCTCCAGGCTCTTCAGGCGCTTCGCGTCAGGGGTTGGGGTTTAGGGTTTAGGGTTTAGGGTTTAGGGTTTAGGGTTTAGGGTTTAGGGTTTAGGGTTTAGGGTTCAGGGTTTAGACCCCCAAACGCCCAGGGTTTGGAGTTGAGGTCGGATGTACAGTTTACGGCCGGCCGGGTGTTGTCTGCAACATGAACCCTAAACCCCCCAAACAGCCCCAAACCCTAAACCCTAAACTCTAAACCGTAATCTACCTTGAAAGCTCCCAAACCCCAAATCCTCAGCCTTGACGAAGCCGCAGACTCAGACCCACAAAGTCCTAAACTACTGAAACACTTTCGGGGGGAGGGTCTAGGGTTTGGGGTTTAGGGTTTAGGTGAAGGGGGGGTGGAATATTTGTTATACACTGCTCCACAGCCCAAAACCCCACCTAAAGGTCATGGATCATGGGACTTTGTAACCAGGGCTATAAATTAAGCCAACTATAGTCATCATTACTTCTCACTCCAATTGAAGTGCCTCAACCCTTACCTACCATGATCCTCCAAGTAAACCCACAAATCCCTAACGCCATGAGTCCATGAATCCCTCTAGCACCAAACCCGTAAATTTACGGCCCCGGGCTCCTCAATCCCTAAAGCCCTGATCCACTCCTACATGACAAAAACGTTCAGGGTTTAGGGTTGAGGTCCCTCAACCGAATGGTGTTCCCTACCCTCCCCCGTCCTCGATATTGGGGTCGATACCCTTCTCCAGGGCCCGCCTCACCTGATCTGCAGGGCGAGAGTCATGATCTACCTCTACGGCTCTAAGGACTCATATTAAGGCTTCCGGGCTCATAGACCATATTCTGGTGGGCTTCTCGGCTATACTGAGCCTTAGAGCGCAGCAACTCGAACTAGAAAGAATTGTGTACCAACACGGACATGAGTGCTAAGGGGCTTGCTACTTGTACGGTGCCTCTGCATGTTCTCCTCTACCTACTTACCTACTTGCCGTATCTCTGCGTGACCCTAAACCCTAAACCCTAAACGGCGATTGGCCCAAGCTTTTTGGGCTTTCACCCTGCAAGCCCAGGCGTGCGAGAGAACGTAAACACTTAACCCTCTGCCGGACAATCGGAAACCGCAAGACACGCGAAACCCAAAGCTCTAAACTCTTAACCCCAAATTCCCAACTCCCGACCCTAAACCCACAACTCTTAACACTGAACCCTCAACCCAAACCATCAACCCTGAGCCCTCAACTCTCAAACCCCCAAACGTATGGGAATGCCAAGGCCATGGCCTCGCACTCGTTACCCTCCTTCACGGCCATCATCAGCTCCCGTGGGTTCTCCCCGGTGTAAGGAACCTGAGCCATAGAGTTGCGGAAGGATCTCTCTCTCTCTCTCTCTATCTCTGTCTCTATACGTTTGCCTATCTATCTAGTTGTCTACCTACCTACATACCTCCCTACCTATCTACCAATCTATCTATCTATCTATCTATCCTTCTTTCTCTATACACAATAAGGTTTAGGGTTTGGGGGGTCTAGGGAGCTTTGACGATGTGCTGTTTTTTTCTGGATTGTGGTGAAAGATTGACCTGATACGGGTCCAAGCAGTCCTTTATTATGGTTGTCGGTACCCCCAAAGTTCATAAATGATGGGCACTTGGACCCTTAGAGTTAGCCACTTTTAAGAAGAACACCGCGAGTGCCATGCACGGCAATTCTGAATCCAGAATCCTCAGACCAAATTTCAAAACCCTGAACACCAAACCGGCAAGCCCTGGCTCTGATGAAGCGAGCGATTCTGGAGGGAGGGGACTCTGAGCACCAGAAGTGCCACAAGCTTTCAGGTCGCAACCACAGGGTCTTATATCATTACAAAACCATTATGGAACTCTTAAAGAACCCGCAAAGGAACCCTTAAGGAAAAAGTTGAAGGAACCCTTGCAAGACCCGTTAAAAACCCCTGTGCTAACAGAAAGGAATGCTGTGGGGCCAGAAAAGGAAAGCCTTGAAATATACCTTACGTTACGGGAACGTGGAACCCTGTTCAAACTAAACCCTAAACCCCCTAAACCCTAAACCCTAAACCCCCAGACCCCTAAACCCCTTAACCCCTAAACCCCTTAACCCCTAGACC